GTAGTTAGTGTAACTGTTTAGTTAGGTTTGTTATTTTTATTATGTTAATCGATATTTTTTGTTGTTTGTTTTGTGTTAATAAAAATATTTGTTTAAAAAAGGAAATTCGTTTTTTCTCACTGTCAATATATTTTGTATCCTTCCTGAAGCACTAAGCAACTCATGATTTCATCTTTCACTGCTGCTGGAGGATGCCAGCATTGTTTGCTTCTTGCAGACAAATAGGCCTCTCCTGACATTTGTAATCTAGTTTTAATGCATTTTCCACTACTTTGCCAGCTCCTGTTCAAATAGAGTAACATTTATCCCCAGTAAGATTACTCCATGTCTTATCAAAGGCCTGCCTTGGTTTTCTTGACTTTGTAAATGAGGCATCAACAAGTGCTGGAGGGTTGCTTGAAAGGGGGAAAAGATTTAACCACATTTAAATGCTTGATTCTTATTGGCATTTTGTATGTACTGGATCCCCACCACACCTTTGAGGATATGAATCCTTGATTGTGAAACCTTCACTGAAATGTGACACTTACTTTCTTCATGGCAGTGCTCCTTAACCTTTTTTTAAAAAAATCATGGCCCTGAGCAGTGACCTTAGAGAAAATCTATTAAAAATGCAATACAGATGGCACTTAACTCCAGCAAGACTTGTAAAAATTTATAAAACATCATCTAACAACTGTTGGAAATCGGTAGCAATCTTTGTACATCTATGGTGGAATTGCAAAATAGTTAAAAAATATTGTCTGGAGATATATGAGATGATAATACAAATTTTAAAGTGTAAGTTAAATTTGACCCTAAGTTCTTTCTTCTGAGTATGGTTATCGATGATAAGCTGGAAAAAACATATGGGAAACTGCTTTTTTATATGTCCTCTACAGCTAGAGTGACTTTAGCGAGATGGTGGAAGAAAAAAGAATCTCTAAATACAAATGAATGGCTATCCAAATTGATTGAGTACATAGAATTAGATACATTTACTTAAGTAGAGGAAGTGATTGGGAAGAAATTCAAAAGGACTGGTTACTGCTGATAACATACCTGGATAAAAAGGGGAAACCATGAAAAATTTGATGTTAGAAGTAAAAGGTGATATTTATTATGAATGAAAACTGTTTTGTTCAGAGCGCTAAGATGATCTAGTGCAGCTCAATTTTAAACAAATGGGATGCTTTTGTTATACTCTTTTGACTTTCTTTTGTATTTTTTTAAATAAGTAAGTTCTCCTTTATTGTATTCTTCAAGTCTTATTAAAGCAAAAAAAAAAAATATCTCTACAGGAGTATAATATATGTAGATGTAGATCAAAACAAAATCCAGGAAATAAACTCTTTGTTTAGTGTTTTTTTTGTTTTTGTTTTGTTTTTTCTTTTTCTTTTCTTTTTCAATTTATGTTCCATTGTATTCATTCTTCTACGTATCTGTATTATGCATTATGTATTTGCAGTATTATTTATTGTTTATCCTTTTATGTATGTTTTTTCTATTTTCTGTCATTTAATAAAAAATATTTTAAAAATCATGGCCCCTTTTTAGAATGCGATAAAAGCTATACATCCCTTACCCAGTAATAATTGAGGTTTAAAAAATTCCTTGGGCCTTTTGTCCTGTTTAATAAAAGAAAATGACCCATTTTTCAAAACCAAAGTTTGTTTTGAGCTGTTTGTGATTTTGGTCTTTTTAAAAATCCTGTTGTTGTTGTGTAGCTTCAAATCATTTCCTGCTTATGGCAGCTCTACAGTGAACCTTATCACGGGGGTTTTCTTGGCAAGATTTTTTCAGAGGGGTTTTTCCTTTGCCTTCTTTTGAGACTGAAAGAGAGTGAGGGCCTTTGCAGACTGCCAGAAATAGTGCACATTAAATTGAGGCACTGCCCTGGCTCAGTGCTAGGGAATCATGGGAATTGTATTTTTTTCTGAGACATTGAGCCTTCGCTGTCAGAGAGCTCTGGTGCCACAATAAACTACAGTTCCCATGATTCCCTAGCACTGAGCCAGGGCAGTGCCTCAATTTAATGTGCACTATTTCTGGCAGTCTGCAAAGGCCCTGACTTGCCTAAGGTGGGTTTCCATGGCCAAGCAGGGATTCGAACCCTGTTCCCCAGAATTGTAGTCTAGTGTTCAAACCACTGTACCACACTGCCTTAAGGGGGCATCTTTTTACTGTCCAGGTGGCCCATGGATGGTTCTAGGGGCAGAAAACTGCCCCTAAGCCTGTTGCTGTTGCTTGCAAGATTCAAGAGTGAGAGACATGCAGAGAATACTGGAGGAAGAGAAAGAGACATACAGCAATAAGTAAAGAAGAAAGAGAGGATGCACGGTGATGGTCCCAATGATTCATTCCTTTTCAGCAATGTGCTGGTTTCCTTTCAGTGGGAGATAAATTATCCCCCCCCTCCAAACTTGGGTAGCTGTTTCCTTCTCTGCCACTGCCAAAACGGATGGTGCAGGGGAGAGGAGGGAAAGCATGTATGGAGTTTTTCATATTTATTCTAGTAAACTTTTTAGAGGGATGAGTAGTTTTTCCAGCAGGAACAATGTGCAGATCCACTCACATCTTTCCTCCTGCCTTTGTCCCTCAATGATCATAGTTAAAACTGAACTTGTCACTTCGTTAGTATACACACAAGTTTTGCATTTCTATGACTGTTTGTACAGTCTGGTTATAAATGTCCTTCCTGGGCATCTGAGGATACAGACCAAGTCTACACAGAGCTTAATGTCTTTTGCTCAGTTAATCTGAAATGTGCTACAAGATTCCTTTGTAGATTGATTTAAATCAGTTGACCCAAATGACATTGGCCTGTCCTATCATCAGCCGTTTCTCTGCTTCTTTGTAGCATGGTCAACAAGATTAATATGTTGCTTGTGCCATAGGTGAGATAGTTCGATCTTTTGAACTTAATGGACATGGCCTTCGGTCCAGGTATTTGAATAAGATAAGCCAGTTTCCTATCACTGCTCAGTTATGCAGTTCAGTGTAGAAAATTCAGGCAGAAGAGAACTCCCTTACAGCACCTGGGTAGTGTGATTTCATTTCTCAGGTGGAAGCCTTTGGGTGGATTGTACTACTGCAAATAATCAAGCCATCTTTGAGATTTTTTTAAGCCAATGCAAGCTTTGTATAAGGAAATGGTTGAAAATGAAAAAAATGCAGCTGTCGCTTCTGCAGTAGCAACACTAACTACTGGCTGAGTACTTTTGGAGCTTCAGTGACGATGGAAGTTGCTACAGTTGGGACCCTGCAGCTCTTCCAGGCTACCTCTTGTGGCTAGAAAGCCAGCCCCAGAATTACATGGGGTCACTTCTATTTTCCATCAAATTTCTCTTCAAAATATACCTTCTCTATAAAACCTTTGGTCTTCCTGCTGTCAGACTTTAAGCTTATGAGTATTTTATGCATGTGTGTCCATTTGAATGTGGAAAAAACAGCAGGACTTAGAGGAACTCCTTTTAAGTATATCATTCGTTTACAATCTCTAGTTGCACAGGATTGAAGAGCAGACTGTATAGAAGTCATACCAAGGATGTTAGATATTGTTTTACCTCAGTTTCACATTTTTAACTGAAGAAAGAATGGAAAATGCGTTCATTTCAGCATGTGTGGCAATTAGCTCCTCTGTCTTTAACAAGGAGTGTGAGCTTTAGAGTGCAAGCTGTGCATATTTTTTTTTTTTATTTTCACAGACTTTCACTACAAGAACAGCCATGTTCACCAGGTTCTGGAAAAATTTACTTCATCGTGAATGAGTGGCATGCTAGTTTATATGCAGGCCTTTTTGTTGAATTTTGGTGTGATGTGATTGTAAATGCAGCAGAGTTTAGAAGCCTGCTTTCTTTACCAGCCATCTTGGAAATGTTTTTTCCATGAAGACACATTTGTAAATCTAAAGTAAAGCTTTATTGTTCCATAAAGAAAACAGAAAAGAAATATATACAATCCATCTTGCGGATGGCAAAGACCATAGGATCACATCTTGCAGATGTTGTTGTATTACAGCATTAGAACAGTATTACATTCCAGTTCAAAAGACATACAACAAGTATATAACAAAGGTGAACAAAGAAACTCTTGGCCCTTTCCAAACTCCACCTCCTGGATGTTAACTTATATGATGATTGGATGATATGCTGTAACCCAGCCTCTAGATCAGCCTCTATCTGTGTGTCATTCCCCATGTGACCTGATTCTCATGAAATCCAAATGAGCTCATATGTTTATCTTTTAATATCCTGTTCTCAAGCCGAAAGTGTTTTTGTTATTTTGTACTGTGTGAAATTGTTTTGGCTTTAAACCACCTGCTGGCTGAGTCTTCTTTGTTTTCTTTAGGCACTGTTCCCATAAGAGATTTTTTCACACACACATCTCTACATTTCTACTTTGACTGTATATCCTATCTATAATCCAACAATCCCCTCTGAAATGTATAGATGTGCGAGGCATGTTGTTTACAGTTTTGAAACTTTTTTTAGCTCAATAGCTAGAACTGTGCACTTAAGGTGACATCCCAATTAAATGTGACATCTGTTCATGTCTTTTTATTTTCAATGGCTTTGTCAAAATGTCAAATTGTGTTTTGTTTCTATATATTGTAGATGCACAGCTCTTTTCTGTACCAATTCTCTGACATTCTGATACCTTATTTCAATGTATTTTGTTTTGCATTTTAAATTTTCAGCCTCTGATATGATAATGTACGCTTATGAATCTTCATGAATCAATACAGGCTCAGAACAACTCTGATTCAAATCCTGAAGTAACTGTTTAATCCACTGTATCTCATTGACTATTTTTGACAATGCTGTAAATTCTGTTTCACTTGTACTTTGTGCTACATAGCTCTGTGTTTTACTATGCCAAATTACTGCACTTTCTCCAAACTTGATCAACAATCCTGTGACTGACTTTCTGTCATGCAATTCTGAAGCAAATGAACTATCATAAAGCATTCTAGCCCAACCATGCTATTTTTTATCACTAATTTTCTGTCTATGTTACCTTTTAGGTATCTCAACAAATGTTTGACTGTTGTCCAATCCTCAACTTTTGGACAATTTGCTATTAAGCATGCCAACTATAAATGCAATATCTGGCCTTGTGTTGTTTGTTATAAACATCAAGCTTTCAACAATGTTTCTAAACAATTTCGGATTTTTAAACTCATTACTTGTCTCACCATTGATAAATCCAATAGACATAGGACTTTTCACTATTTTTGCACTTTGCAATCCACATTTCTCAATCAGCCTTTCAATCTTACCGCTTACCGGCCCCCGCCGGCCCCTGCCACCACCCGCCACCTCTGCTGCATGTTTTGGCAGCCGCGCGGCTGCGCAGGTTGCAGCTGCCATTTTGTTTTCCAAAATGGCGGCCGCGACTCATTTGCGCATGCGCAGAAGTACTGCGCATGTGCAAACGAGTCACGGCCACCAATTTGGAAAACAAAATGGTGGCCACAACATGTGCGGAGGTGGCGGCAGACTCACGCACGCATGAGCACGCGCGCTGCCATTCCCCCCCTGGCCCACCGGAAGGGACCGCCAGAAGGGACTGGCCCCAGGTAAGAAAAGGTTGCTGACCCCTGCACTACACCATAATGGCTCTTATTCCCATGTACTATCTATGAAACAGTTGCAGACTTTTTTGTTGTTGTTGTGTGTCTTCAAGACCTTTCCGACTTATGGCGACCCTAAGGCAACCTTATCATGGATTTTTCTTGGTATGTTTCTTCAAATGGGGGTTGCCATTATCGTCATCTGAGGCTGAGTGTGTGTGACATGCCCAGGGTCAATTACTTGGCCGCAAATTGTACATACCCCAGAATGCATCACCTAGTATATTGGCAGTCCTTCCCCACAACACTTTTTCATTTTCCCCAAACCATCTCATAGCTGGGAGATGGAAATAATTTTTAAAGCAGCATTTACATCTGGACTTTTTTTTTAAAAAAAGTAAGATCTAAAACACACTGCAGAAATAAATGCTAGGGAACATGGGAGCTGTAGTTTGTTGTGTTTATAAGTGACAGTTTTCCTGCTAAGTACCTGCGTGTCATAAGCATTTGAATTAAAATTACCATATTGAAATCAAATCTGATTTTTAAAAATTTTTATTTGGTGTGCATTAGAAGAGGGCTCATCTTTTATGACGAGTATATCCCAAACTCTATATTTTATCTGGAAAAGTTGGGGTTCGTCTTATATGCTCAGTCGTCTTATACGCCGGAAAATACGGTACATAATTATATATTTTGGAGATGAGACGCAGGTCTAAACATGACATTTATTTATGTTTCATATACACTTTATAATAGCCTGAAAGTAATTTTATATACAATATTTTAAATTATTTTGTGCATGAAACATATTTTGTATACATTGAACCATCAGAAAGCAAAGGTGTCACTATCTTAGCCACCCATGTGGACAATTTTGGATTTTGGAGTATTTTGGATGCTGAATTTCCAGATAAGAAATACACAACCTGTACTATGGTATCTGAACTGAAGATCTGACTAGTCATTTTCAAGAAGCCAGGATTTGTAAGCCAAAATAGAACACAGTACAGCTAAGTATGGCATATATTCCCTTCAGCTCATATTTTGTGACAAGAACATGCTGTTCTTACAGCAAAATAAATGATAGTAGTGGAACATCTGGGATACTGGGATTGTGGGTTTGGGGAGAGTTTTGCCTGCAAACTTGAGATAATGGGAAAAATCAAGTGGAGGCAAAAGGCCTGCGTATACACTAGAATGCCACTTATTCACGATGAAGTACAATTTTCCAGAACCTGGTGAACATGGCTGTTCTTGTAGTGAAATCCTGGCTTGTAGAAGGAAAAACAAATGAAGATTCCAGATATCAATAATATGCTAAAGAAACAATTTGTGATTTGAAAACAAAAGAGATGCCCTTTAATGGGACAGATATGGATAAGAAGCTATCAGTTGCTGAACTCTGTTTTATTTTTTAAAAAAACCAACAACACACATGGAGAAGGAATTAACATATTGTAGTATGATACTATGATGGTGGCTTGCAGAAATACTCTCCTGATACAGACTTTCCTACATTTTGTTATGCTCCAGCATGCAAAAAACAAAACAAAACATAAACCCTTTCCCCTGCTTTGAATCTTTCG